GTGGCTCATGCCTGTAATCCCAGCGCTTTGGGAGGCCAAGGTGGGTGGATCACAAGGTCAGGAGTTCGAGACCAGCCTGACCAGCATGGTGAAACCCCCATCTCTACTAAAAATACAAAAAAAGCCAGGTGTGGTGACACGCACCTGTAATCCCAGCTACTTGGGAGGCCGAGGCAGGAGAATCATCTGAACCTGGGAGGCGGAGGCTGCAGTGAGTGGAGATCATCACATCATTGCACTCCAGCCTGGGTGACAGAGTGAGACTCCATATCAAAAAAAAATAAAGGACATTCATTATAATTTAGCATCTGGGTGTTTTGCAGCCATATAAAGATTTTCAGTCTGCCCCCCCCCCTTTTTTTTTTTTTTTTTTTTTTTTTTTTTGAGACAGTCTCACTCTGTCGCCCAGGCTGGAGTGCAGTGTTGTGATCTTAGCTCACTGCAACCACCGCCTCCTGGGTTCAAGAGATTCACCTGCCTCAGCCTCCCAAGTAGCTGGAACTACAGGTGTGTGCCACCACCCCTGGCTAATTTTTTGTATTTTTAGTAGAGACGAGGTTTCACCGTTTTAGCCAGGCTGGTCTTGATCTTCTGACCTGATCTGCCTGCCTCGGCCTCCCAAAGTGCTGAGATTACAAGCGTGAGCCACTGTGCCCAGTTCCCGCCTGCCATGTCTATGGCACATAGCTTTCTACCAACTTATTGCAGGGCTGACAGTCCCATGGCTGAGATCTTGTCATTGTTCTAGGTGGGAGGATTGCAGTGTGGCCCAGAAAGGTTTGCAGTTGGCACCACCTGCATCAAAGATCATAGAGCCAAGCCCCAGGCCCCAGGCCAGCCGTTCTCCCTTTGCATTCGAGAGGACTGCGAAGCTGGTGCTGCCAATCAGCCTCCTGGGCAAGGCTGCTCAGGAGAGGTGGGCCTCAGGCAGAGCACAGATGGGTATTCAAGTGACAGAAGTGAGGCCTCAGCTCACCAGTGGTAAACTGGCCTGGCAGCCTGAGATTCCACACACAGGTGTGTCTGTACCAGCCTTAGGGCCATGGAAAGTACCACCCAAGGGCTGCTGGAAGTAACTGCGGGCTTTTAGGGAGAGTAGTTTGAACACTTCAAGGATCCAAGAAATGTTCAGTATCAAAAATTCCACTTTGGGAAATTATCCTAAGGAAATAAATCATGCAAAGGAAGAGTGTGCATAGATGTATGTCATACCAGAAAACTCGAGCGCGATCCAATTGCCCAAAAGGAGGTGAAGAGTTAAAAAGTCATGCCACTGCACTCCAGCCTGGGCAGTAGACACCCTCCCTTCCACCAAAAAAAAAAAAAAAAAAAAAAAATCACTTGAGAAGGAGTAACGAGGAGTGTCTGGAAGCTGTTGACCCTGACCACAGGCCCACTGGTGGGTTCCAACAGCCGTTGGGCCTCGTCCCCACAGGGCAGTGACCAGCTGCTGCAGCTGGCTTCCCAGAGAGAACAGCTCCAGGCCCGTGGGGTACAGGGACCTCCTGCTTCATTTCCTTGGGTGCTCTTCAGGCCACGACTAGAACCAGTTGGGGCCGCTCTCTCCAGCTTCCTCAAGAATTTGGGAATTAGGGCAAGGGGTCATATCCTAGTGTAGGGACCACCTTTCCTCCCAGTTCCATTCCAGCTTGAGGCAGAAAAGGAATATAGCCTTTTTATTGACTACCTTAAGTAGAACAAACTAAATACATATTTAACAGTTTTGGTTCGTTTATACAGTACATTAAATAAGTTATGCACAGAGTTAAGTAACGAAAGTTCCTATCAGAGTAAAATGACAAAGCACAGAAAAACCAGACTCTAACGCATTCTGTGGGTGGTTTCACGTTCATCATCCCCCTTTAAAAACCACATATGGAGGCTTCGTTTTCCATTTATTTACATTGACTTTTTTATGAGTGGAGCCTTTGTAGCCTCGTCAGGAACTTCCTGGAAAGCCACGTAAGGGTACTGAAGGCCCTTCAGCCCAGCAGCCCTTTCAATCATTTGCCTAATACTTACTGCTGCTTCTCTGCCGACTCCAAGGTAGGGACAGGCTGTCCCTGACAGACACCAGCGCCCATGCCCCATTTGGTATAAGCATCACTGAGTGTACACTGGGCAGCCGTAGGCCCGACCAGATGGGGTCTGTGAGGGAAATTCCACGTCACGGGCTATGGAGGGGGAGGAGGGGGACTAAGACCCACCCCTCAGGCCTCCTAACCCACTCCTGGCTCACGATGGAAAAGGTCACCTGCACCATCATCTTTGGAAATGAGCATGTCAATGCCCGAGGGCAAAGAGGCAGGTAGTCAATGTTTTGGTTTACAAAAACTACAGACACTCCAGAGTCGGAAGGGCCCTGTGAAGCTACTGGCGCAGCCCCTGCCAGAATCTGGGCAGGGCTGCTTTCAACAGCTGGCCATCTGGCCTGTGCTCAACAGTTCACGCTCCGCTGGCTCTTCTTCCATTTGGTTCAGACTTGCTACCACCCAGTTCTCTGCAAACAGCTTAAAAAAAAAAAAAAAAAAAAAAATCTAAGGAGGTTGGTTTGGTCTTCTGACCTGGGAGCCTGGAAACTTGTTTCTAGTTCAGTTCGGAAGAAAGCCTCCATGCAGTGTTCTGTTTTCAGTGATTTATTCAATTCATAATCCTTTCCACAATTTCCAGGACAGATGGCCATCTGGTCATTCTGAAAAGCTCAATGTCATACGATTCCAGCTGTGTTGAACCTTCAAATGCACTTGCTGAGATATCCTCTAGAACTATCCAGAATGTCTATACTCTTTGCAAGCAGCTGATGAGGCTGAGGCTAACTCTGGGACAGGGCTGTACAAAGCAGAGTGGATTTTCTGTTTGGAAGCTGGAGCTGTCAAGTTGACACCAGTAAGAACTCCTGATGACCTTCTGGTCCAAATGGGTAAAGGAAGTTCATGCTGCAGAGAGTGGGCAGCAGCTGAGGCCAGGTGTGGACTTGGGGTGGGAAGATGTGTCCTGTTTCCAGACTCAGACCCACTGACAGGCTAACCCAGCACCGCCCTAAAAATAATCCACCCATCTGTGACCACATGGTCACCCAACTGGGCCTGAGCAGATCTGCTAGAGCACCAGCCCCGGAGCTGCAGGGCCCAACATGGAATGCCCCCACCTCCTGAGGTGGACTGCCTAGGCCTGGGCTTAACTTCTTGAGTCACCTTTACCACTGGATAGTCAGGCATGATGCAGGTAAGTGGGGACCAAAAAAAAAAAAAAAAAAAAAAAAAAAAAAAAAAAATCAAAGATGTGAAACCCGGCCCTCAAAAAACTTGGGAGTTGGCATCTTTGTTCTTCTCTGGTTCCTGCAGTCATTCCTCACTTGGCAGGAGACCATGATGTCCCAAAACACATCAGTACCACTGGCGGGAGGCGCTGAGCACTGCTGTCATCCTAGACATGTCTGGCTGATGGCCATTCACATGTTGCATTTGCTTTTTGGTCCAGCCCTTCTCTGCCTTTTGTCACTGCAAATATTAACCATGGAGGTCAGTTCTCTAAGTAGCCTGAACTTCCACTCCCAACCTGGTAGCTGAGGTGCTGCCAGCAGAGGCTGGAAACCACGCAAGGAACCTGGACTCGCTCCTGCACCTCCCGCTGCCTGCACTGCTCCACTGGTGCTCCTCCTCCTGACCAGAGTGAAGAATTTCAGAACGGGATTCCTGAAATGTGAATAGGGAGTCCTGGACAGAGGCCCTCATGACTTCTGTGTGAAACTGACCAGAATTAACACAGCCAAAGGTTAATCGATGGAGCTTCAGTGTGGAATACTGCCCAGGTTCACAGATCAGCCCCTGGGTAGCACAGGAGCAAGGTGGAAAAGCATTACGAAGACTTAGAAAACCAAACTGTCACAGGAACACACCAAATCTAAGCCTTAGCTGTAGAAATGGGCACAGGGGTTGCTAAATATTATTTTGTTGGCTTTTGGCTTCTTATTCCAACCAGTAAAAGCATGAGCTACCCTGGGCAGGTTTATGGCCACTGGAGATTTTTAAATCCTGCTTAAGGTGTTCATCCAATGAATCCATGAAAAACCAGTCAGCTGGTGTGGAGGCCCCGTGACCTCCTTGTCAGACAGCCAAGTCTTACTGACGCCATCCCCTCGTCAGGGTTCTCCACCAAGGGCTGAGGCTTAATGAGGCAGGTGGGGATGGGAAAATACCAATGTATTAGGACTGGAAAACTGTGGGTCCTATGTGTTCCACAGCAAAGTAACACGGTCCTCTGCTGTTCTTTCCCTGGTCATACCTCACTTTAGGAAATGGGCATCTAGGCATTTTAAAGGTGTCATGTACTAGGTTTCTTTGTAAGACTGAAAATGCTTGGTTACAGTAAATTAGGGACTTGACATTCTTAAAGTAAGATGTAGCTGCATGCAACAAGGCTGTGTGGATCCCTTTTCCTCTATTACTGACAGCTTTTATTTTAGACTCTGGTCAGTGCACAGAAGGTGGAGATTCAACCTATGTTTCAAAGGCCAGCTGGAAAAGGGCCAAACTTAATCCAACTGATTCTTGGGTGTGAGAGGATACTGGAGGCTCGAAGGTGTCGGGGTCCTGAGGACTCCCATCAAAACCCCAAAAGACAGGCCAGGAGACCAGCCTGGCCAACATGATGAAACTCTATCTCTACTAAAAATACAAAAATTAGCTGGGCGTGGTGGCGGGCACCTGTAATCCCAGCTACTCGGGAGGCTGGGGCAGGAGAATGGCTTGGACCTGGGAGGTGGAGGTTGCGGTGAGCCAAGGTCGTGCCACTGCACTGTGACAGAGCAGGACATGGTCGGAAAAAAAAAACAAAAAACAAAAAAAGCAGAAGAAATGTGGGAGGCAGTTCCTAACATTCTGAAAAGGGTATAGGTGATGTCCCGTTTGAAAAATTGGTCAGCTTTTCCCAAATGGTTCTCCTATTTCATGAAACCTTTCTGATGAGCTGGCAGATAATACAAGAGAAGGAAACAGAAATTGTGTGCCTGATAATAAATCCACTTAGTAGGTGCAATGACCTGAAATGATGAGGTTTGAAGAATTCTTTCAGGTCCAGAAGGGCTGCTCAGATGAGACCAGGCCTTGACAGCAGGGGTGAGTCCTAACAACCTGCCATGGCACGTCCAGCAGGACAACTGTGGCTCAGCGGATGCCAAATAGAGCCTACGGGCAGAAGATGCCCACAGCAGTCCAGATGTGTGTGGTCTGAGATAAAAGGACACAGAACAAGACGACTGTGCAAACAGCCAAGTGGTGGGAGAAGGTCTGTATTTCCAAGAGATGATCCACTCAGTAATTTGACGATACTAATTTGGCCAACATGCTCAGAGAGAACAGACTATCCACAACTGAGTCTCACTCTCTTTCAGACCAATCCATGCGCTGGAAACTATTTTCTGCACAAGCAAAATCAAGAGAAAAGAACAGGTCCCAAACTAAAGCAGCCAGTAAGGTTGGAAAATCTTGTCCAAAATCATCTGTGATGTGCGGGAAGTTTTATTTGTTTATGTTTTTGCTACTATGGGTGCTTTTATTGCAACAGTGACTTCTTTCCTGTGGACTCTGAGATCTGAACAAGTCTGAATAGCAGGGTTGAGAAGGGAGTCCTGAGTGCCACCTGTTGCTTACCCAAGTCCCCATGAGGCCAACCAGTGTCATTTGCTGAGGGTAGAGATGGGGCCGAAGGAGCTGTTCAGGGTGAGGGGGCTGCTCCCTATCCGAGAGGCTTCCTCCACCAGCCTGCTGCCCGCCACCTCCAGCCTAGCCGGGCACATTCAAAAGTCTGCTGACTCAAGGAGATGGGGAGGGGAGCTGGTGGTCTACACTGAGAAGGAACTGGCTAAGCCAGCTTCAGTGGGGAGAGGAACAACCAGGAAAGCCATGGAGGTGGCAGTGGGGCTGGGCCGGCTGCCCATGTGCAGAGAATGGCACACTGGCTCCACAGATGGGAAGTGCCCAGAGAGGCTGTGGGTGCTATTATTCAGGCTTGGACTCTTCCTGCCTCCAATTCCTGCTGATGACCCAGCAGCTACATGCATGGGTTCCTACAGCCAGTCCCTTGGTCCAAACGTTCTGTGGTACTGAGCGGCCATCAGGGTAACTAGAGTCTGGGGCTCAGAGGCTGCTGGTATCGATGGCTGTCACGGAGGCAGGTGTTGAGGAACGTGAGGTGGTTGCCGAGGTCTTGTCCAGGGCTGGGCTGGGCACACTGCAGTCGGCAGACCTGGCAGAGGAGCCCCTGCCTACAGGAAGCAGTGGCCGGCCCTGGCCATGGGGGCTCTGGCTATGCAGGTTCTGACCACAGAGGCGGTGGTGCCGCTCCCAGTCCTTGTGCTGGCAGAAAGAGCCGCAGTATCGTGCGATATTGCAGCCACTGCATGTCTCGCTGGCTTTGCGGCCACAGTTCCAGCAGTTCTGCAAGACACAGGCGCCAGTTAGTGGTTGCTGGGATTGAGGGGCAGGCTTGGCATTCATCCGCTGCACAGTAAAGCAAGGGGCTGCATGGAGAGAACCCTGGCTTTGGAGCTACATACAACTGTGGTCAAGTCCTCCCTCTACTGCTGTTTATGAGAAATACACCCCACCTTTCTGAGTTTCCTTCATTTGTAAAACAAGGAAACTACTTACCTGCAGGATGACAGGAACAGTGAAATGAAGGATGCCTACGATAGGTAGCCATCTCTTCCGCTTAAGGCATAGACTCATCTTTTGACTCAGATTTTAACAGTCAGAAACCAAACCCAATTCTGTGCCAGGGTCTCCCCCAACAGCCATCTATCCTAAGACCACGTGTTAAGACGAACATTTATCCTGCTCCTTTCTGCATGTGCCACCACACCTGGCTAATTTTTGTATTTATATATATATATAATATATGTATTTACTAGAGATGGGGTTTTGCCATGTTGGCCATGCTGGTCTTGAACTCCTGGGCCTAAGTGATCTACCCATCTCAGCCTCCCAAAGTACTGGGATTACAGGCACCTGCCTGATACTGCACCTCTCACTAGAGAAATAATCTTCATTGTTTTTACTGATAATCTTACTTAACCAAAGTTATTGCTGCTGTTTTTTTAATTTTTCTTTCTTTTGGAGAAAGGGTCTTGCTATTGTTGCCCAGGCTGGACTTGACCTCCTGGGCACCAGAGATCCTCTCACACTCCCACCTTAGCCTCCTGAGTAGCTGGGATTATAGGCGTGCACCACCACGCCTAGCTAATTCTTTAATTTTTTTGTAGAGACAGGGTCTCCTTATGTCGCCCAGGCTGGTCTTGAACTCCTGGCCTCCAATGACCCTCCCACCTTGGCCTCTTAAAGAGCTGAAATTACAGGCAAGGGTTACTGTGCCTGTTCCCTAATAATTATCAGACCAATAGGATGGGAGCTACTATACACATTAAGCAGAGATGGAGACTGACCCCTTTAAGAGTGTACTGCCGGTGTGAGAGGGAAGTGGGACCAGAAGTCAGGGCTCCTTCCTCCCCCACACCAAACCACCTTTCACAAGATGAACAAGAAACTCCAGGGATACCTGCTGAATTTCAACGAGAATATTCTGGATGAATATTCTTGATGGATGAGAATCAGCCCTTTTAGTCCAATGCAAACTCATCCAAAGGACAGGCTCTCTGTCCCTTCCCTGCTTTGAAAAGTGATTTTGCAGGGATAGGTGCTCGTGTGTACCTCACCTGGAGGCCATTTTGAGGCTTGTTTAAAGTTACAGTTCTTTAAAAGCACAATTCTGAAAATGGAGAGCTGGGATTTAAACCTACGCAGTCCAGATCCAGGATGTATGCTCTTAGCCAAAAGCTATACTTTTCCTTTGGAGACAGATATAAACACAGAGATAAAAGTAGATAAATATAGACAAATACAGATACTGATATGGATGGCTATAGACACATAGTTAAACATACAGAACAGAACAGATATATCACTCTCAAAAACGATTCTCTTTTTTATCTGAGGCAGTTTCATTCTTGCTGCCCATGATGGAGTGCAATGGTGTGATCTTGGCTCACTGCAACCTCCACCTCCTGGGTTGTCCTACCTCAGCTTCCCGAGTAGCTGGGATATAGGCATGTGCCACCACACACGGCTAATTTTTTACTTTTAGTAGAGATGTGGGACTAGGCTGGTCTCGAACTCCTGACCTCAGGTGAGCCGGCCACCTCAGCCTCTCAAAGTGCTGGGATTATAGGTGTGAGCCACCGTGCCTGGCACAATTCTCTTTTTTTCCCCTCTTCATCTTGCCATTGTCATCACCTTTTATATATATATATATATATATATATATATATATATATATATATATATATATTTTTTTTTTTTTATTTTATTTTTAAGACACGGTTTCACCATGTTGGTCAGGCTGGTCTTGAATGCCCAACCTCAGGTGATCCGCCTGCCTTGGCCTCCAAAGTGCTTGGATTACAGGCGTGAGCCACCACGCCTGGCCTTTTTTTTTTTTTTTTAAAGAGATAGAGTCTTGCTCTCTCACCCAGGTTGGAGTGCAGTGTTACGATCATGGTGGCCTTGAATCTCTTGGGCTCAAGCAATCCTCCTGTCTCAGCCTCCAAAGTAGCTGGACTATAGATGTGTGACACCATGCCTGGCCAACTGCAGAAATGGAGTCTCGCCATCTAGCCCAGGCTGGTCTTTAACTCCTGAGCTCAAGTGTTCCTACCACCTTGGCTTCCCAAAGTGCTGGGATTACAGGCATCAGCCACTGCACCCAGCCTCAAAAACAATTCTAAAAAAAAGGAGGAGAGAAGGAAAAGGGAGGGAGTTAAATAGACTGTTTTCTCTCTTTTTTTAAATTCATACTTTCTATAAGCAAGAGACTGTTTTCTCACAACCCACAGTATCTATATTGAAGCGCTATAGTAAGTTATTTCACCACATCCTCGGTGATCCCCACGTGGTATTTAGGTATTTTCATCTGCACACTGCTATGCCTGACTGTAAGATACTGAAATGGACAATATAGATGACAAGAAAATAATATTTCTACAGTTTGTTTAAAAGAAAAAGTCCTTCTATAATCCCAGCACTTTGGGAGTCCAAGGCGGGTGGATCACTTCAGGGCAGGAGTTTGAGACCAGCCTGGCCAACATGGCAAAAACCCGTCTCTACTAAAAATATTAAAATGAGTTGGGCAAGGTGGCACACACTGTAGTCCCAGCTACTCAGGAGGCTGAGGTGGGAAAATCACTTGAACCCAGAGGTGGAGGCTGCAGTGAGCCGAGACTGCACCACTGCACTCCACCCTGGGTTAAGAGTGAGTTCTTAACTTCAAGAGAATGTCCCAAAGACAGCCGGTCTCCCATCCAGTAGATGAGATCTACCTACTTACAGAAAGAAACTCGTTTCTTGTTTTAAAGCTAAAAAATGACTAAAATGAAAGCTACAGAAAAATGGCATTAAATTTGAAAGGGCTGCTCGAATGTTTTGGTACAGGTTGCTTTCGTCTCAGTTTGTGCATTTTTCTCCTCACTGTAGTATCCAAGTATCCTATACAGAACCATCACCAAGTCCTGGGCCCCTGAGTCCTGGGCAATCAGGCAGATTGAAGTAACCCAACCTGTTACTTCAGTCCACAAACCAGCTATCCTATTTCTAAAAATTCTAGATGCTAAAGGACCCTGCCCTTTCTTACTCCTCTACCCTGACTTCAGCACTGAGGGAGTATATCAGTTACATTCCCTGAGCCACAGTCTCCTCATCTGTGAATTAGAGATTCAACATTATCCAACTCATAGGGCCAATGTGAGACTCAAAAAGAAAATATGCAACTTCGCCGTGTGTCTGGCACACAGTAAGCTAACTTTGTCAATGCTGGTCATCATCATCATTGTGGAATTACACAAACTCTGTCTTTAGGGTGAATTCCCAAAATTTTAACCAATACACTGAACCTCTCTCTATATATGTGTATGTGCATAAAAATACGATGTAATAATTTATTATCTTGGCATGTAAAAGTCTTAGTGTGAGAACCAAAACTCTTCTGGCACTGGCTAAAAATTATCATCATCGAGCTCAAGAGCAGACTGCCTGAATCTTCCTGCTCAGCGTATAGGGCAGCGGGCGTGGTCACTCCAGCTGCCTGCCCCGGCCCCGAGGGCTAACAGAGCTCTGACCTCTGTGGACTCCTCTTGCTCGTTAATGACGAGGAAAGCATCCTCCGCGGCCTGCCGCTTGACGTCCGCTATGGTTTGCTCCATTCGTGCTCTCTCTGTTGCAATCACTTCAAAGGCTTTCTGCTCTGCTTCAGCGACAGCCTTCTGTACTTCTGACATGGCCTGAATTTTCACCTTATTCACAGCTTCTTCTAGAAGAAAGTGACAGTAAAATCAACTGGCCGAGAAATCTTTTCCCTCCCACCCCACAGCATTTCTAAGAAAGGACAGAGCTGACACAAAATGATCTTTTCTAAAACTACACAGGGAGGAATACATGGTATTCACAGTCATGCATCCATCCATGTAGGTGCTGGCTGGGTACGTAGATGGAGGTGGCCACTGAGCTAGGATTGTGGACATGGGTCACTAGACACAGGCCACACTCTCATGACATGTTATGTCACTGTAAGAGAATAGAGTTCCAAGGAGAAAAGTGATCAGCTCTTCAGTGGGCAAGGGAGAATCAAGACAATGTGTTTTGGTTGAGATGGTGGATGGAAATGAGTTTGCAAAGTCTTGCGTGCCAGACTAATTTGACCTTCGTTTTTCTTTTTTTTTTTTGAAAACAGGGCCTTGCTCTGTTGCCCAGGCTGGAGTGCACTGCCGTGATCACAGCAAACTACAGCCTTGACCTCTGAATCATGATCCTCCCACCTCAGCCTTCTGAGTAGCTAGGGTTACAGGCATGTCCCACCATACTCTGCTAATTTTTAAATTTTTTTGTAGCGATGAGGTCTCACTATGCTGCTCAGGCTGGTCTAGAACTCCTGGGCTCAACTGATCCTCTTAGTTGAGCATCCCAAAGTGTTGGTGTTAAAGTGTTATAGGAGTTAGGCACCCTGCCCAGCTTGACCTTATTTTCTAAAAGAAACTTCACAAAGGATTCTATGCAAGGGAAGATTAAAGACAGAGATAGCAACTGGGAGGCTGGTGCAATGATTAAGCTGATAGAAGAGGCTGCATTTAGGCAGGAGTCAGTGGCACTGAGGAAGGGATGAGGCAGAAAAAGGTTGGGAGCACCGAAGGGCCTGGATGCGGAGGTGAAAGGGAAGAATGGAAGTGCTAGGCAAATGAACTGGACAGTCCACACAAAGCTAGTGTGGGGGCAAGTGAAAAGGTGGAGGTGCCTCCAGGGCATCTAGGTGAAAATGGCTGGGAGGAAATTAAATAAATAAGGCTAAGAGGCCCCCAGCCACCACTCCTCTCCCCTTAATCCCTGCCAAAAAATAAAAAGGAAAAGACTAGGTGGAGAAACATGGGCTAAAACATAGATTTGAGCACACTGCCAGGAGCCCTGGGCTTCGAAGTCCTGTCCACTTACCGTCATCCTACCTGGTTCCTGATCACTTCCTTCCATCACCAATGCCCTGCTATTTCCCTAGTGTAGACACCGCAAATAACATGTTCATGTGTTTGAGCCTCAGCCCAATGAGAATGTGAACGTTTAGTCCTAATATAATAGCTCCCGACATGAGTCCACAAGACCAGACAATACAGAAGCCTAAGGAAACTCCTTCACGGTTTACCTCTTGCACATGGCACAGGCTCAAGGGAGGTTCAAACACAGAATTCTAGGCTGCCATGAAACAACTTTCCATCTGATGGCTCCGGCCTTAAGAAAAGAAAGTTGGCCAGGGGCGGTGGTTCACGCCTATAATCCCAGCACTTCGGGAGGCCGAGACGGGTGGATCACGAGGTCAAGAGAGCAAGACCATCCTGGTCAATATGGTGAAACCCCGTCTCTACTAAAAATAAAATAAAATTAGCTGGGCATGTTGGCACACGCCTGTAGTCCCAGCTACTCGGGAGGCTGAGGCAGGAGAATTGCTTGAACCCAGGAGACGGAGGTTGTGGTGAGCCAAGATCACGCCATTGCACTCCAGCCTGGGTAACAAGAGCGAAACTCCGTCTCAAAAAAAAAAAAAAAAGAAAAAAGTCTTCACCCCAGAGGCCAAGAAACTTCCTTAGGTGTCTTATTAGATCCCTCTTATTGAGCCAGCGTTAACAGTGCTCTCAGGTACATTTTAACTCTTCAGCTTAAGCATGAATTAGTAATCATCTCAGTTTGGCTAGCTATCATGCTGGAGGTCATCTAAGGTCATAGATGGCACTGAAGCAGAGCAAGGACTCAAATTTAGCTTGCCAGCACCAAAGTTGGGCTCTTAACCATAGTTAACCAAAAGTATCTCCCAAGTAATCAAAGTCACTAGTTCTACCCCCCTCCCCGCCCAAGTGCTTTTCCAACATGAATAAAGTCACTAGTTTTAAAGAGATCTTGTGGCCGGGCATGATGGCTCATGCCTGTAATCCTTGCACTTTGGGAGGCCAGGGCAGGTGGATCATCTGAGGTTAGGAGTTCGAAATCAGCCTGACATAGTGAAACCCCATCTCTACTAAAAATACAAAAATCAGCTGGGCATGGTGGTGGGTGCCTATAATCCCAGCTACTTGGGAGGCTAAGGCAGGACAGTCACTTGAACCTGGGATATTCTAACTGTACTCCCGCCTGTGTGGTGAAGCAGAACTACATCTCAAAAAGAGAGAGATTTTGTGTATAGTAATTGTTCTCTCCATCTTATGATGATCTTCATTTCCCAAAATTTTATTCCACTTCTTGTTAACATAATATACATTTTCCCATTTTCAACTGCAAGGATTTTTACAAGTTACATGCAGTTTTCCAAATTGTCTTTAATGGTGAAATAATACTTTGTTGTGCAGCAACACAGCAACAAATAATGGGGCTCACTGCAGCCTTGTCTTCCTGTGCTCAAGTCATCTTTCTGCCTCAGCCCCCCAAGTAGCTAGGTCTGCCAACCTTGGCCTCTCACAGTGCTGGGATTACAGGTGTGAGCCACCACACTCCACCCACACTGTTGTTTCTTTAATACTTTGTGTTTAAATATGCTCCATTTTTGAAAGGGAACACTCAAAGGCATGAAAGTGAGGAAAGATTCCAAGAATTTGCGGGTACTCCATTAATTTCTTATATAAGCCTCTGACCAATTATTGAGTGTCATCAACAAGGTCTTCTAAAATTGTCAATAACTGAGGGCTAATTTATCAGAAATGCTTTATCTTACATTATCTTGACTACTAGTAAGAAAAAATATTTTGCAATGTTTATTTGTATTTCTCATAGTATAATATGTCTGTTTATATCTTTATTTACTACTGTCTTGATGCTATTAAAAGTCTTTATGAATGTAGGTATTGCATTTTTATAGAAAGTAAATTTTATCTTAGTAAAAAAAACAAAAATTGTATTGGACTTAAAAAATGAAAGTAGGATGGGGAGGCAAGAAAGAAAAGAATCCTAGTATTTTGATAAGGTTGACATTAGAGATGTGACGTTCATCCCTGAACGTATAGAATAGGCTGTCCCCACCCTTCTTATTCTTGTAAAAAGGAGGCCTACCAAGAATAGCTGTGCCTATGGTGGCACAGTGAAGGTGAAAGAAAGCACAGGGGAATTACAGAGCTGTACCCAGAGCAGAATTTGGGCACAAATGTGGCAGCAGTGTGAACACAGTGTATTGTAGATGCCAGTGAAGAGATCAGGCAAAATGAACACTGCCACTGGCCCAGAAACAGGGCATGCCGACACGTACTTACTACCTCAGCACGACCCAGTGGAAGAGTGTGAAAGGGACTGGAGGGAGCTATTCCAAACTCCTGACTTGCAAAGTAAAAAGACAGGAAGTTGGGGAGACATGCAGGACAAGCCAGGATGGGACAGGCAGGAGCCCAGAGCTCTGAGGAGCAGGTTATTACACAACCAAAAGACTCAGTTACCAACCATCCGCCCAGTTATCTGTTCTCTGCTCCCACAAATTAGTGAGTACACATGAGCTACGAGCAGTGAGACACATACCTGTTTTTTTCCAAAACTCCACAGGTACATATCCTGTACCTGGCCTGCTGCTGAATTCTCTCTGAGAATCTGCAGAAGAGACATAAAAAGCATAGGGTCAGAAGCTGTCTATGATCAGTTTTATTTTTATTTATTTTTATTTTTATTTTTTTTTGAGACGGAGTTTCGCTCTTGTTACCCAGGCTGGAGTGCAACGGCGCGATCTCGGCTCACCGCAACCTCCGCCTCCTGGGCTCAGGCAATTCTCCTGCCTCAGCCTCCTGAGTAGCTGGGATTACAGGCACGCGCCACCACGCCCAGCTAGTTTTTTTTTTGTATTTTTAGTAGAGACGGGGTTTCACCATGTTGACCAGGATGGTCTCGATCTCTTGACCTCGTGATCCAGCCGCCTCGGCCTCCCAAAGTGCTGGGATTCCAGGCTTGAGCCACTGCGCCCGGCCTGATCAGTTTTATTTTTGATCAGATTTCTCATTAACTACTTAGACTCAAACATATATTTCATTTAGTATTAAAAAAACTCTCATATAAGGGCTAAAAATCAGATTATAACGTAGTACAGTAAATATTTAGTTTTAAAACACACCCCTCCATCAAATTAACGGCATTTCAAAGTGGTGAGATTAAAAGTGATCTTCACGCCGGGCGCGGTGGCTCAAGCCTGTAATCCCAGCACTTTGGGAGGCTGAGGCGGGTGGATCATGAGGTCAAGAGATCGAGACCATCCTGGTCAACATGGTGAAACCCCGTCTCTACTAAAGATACAAAAAATTAGCTGGGCATGGTGGTGTGTGCCTGTAATCCCAGCTACTCAGGAGGCTGAGGCAGGAGAATTGCTTGAACCCAGGAGGCGGAGGTTGCGGTGAGCCGAGATCGCACCATTGCACTCCAGCCTGGGTAACAAGAGTGAAACTCCGTCTCAAAAAAAAATAAAATAAAATAGAATAAAAATAAAAGTGATCTTCACTTTCTTCTTTTTATTTACCTATTATCCTATTATGTCCTAATTTTCCCCCTATAAACATGTATGTGTTTTTAAGATATAGTGCTCCCTAAAATATAAATGTATAAACGTTAAGTGCACACAGATTTTTTTTTTTTTTTTTTTTTGAGACAGAGTCTTGCTCTGTTGCCCAAGCTGGAGTGCAGTGGTGCGATCTCGGCTCAGTGCAACTTCTGCCTCCTGGGTTCAAGTGATTCTCCTGCCTCAGTCTCCCAGGTAGCTGGGACTACAGGTGCACACCACCATGCCCAGCTAATTTTTGTACTTTTAGTACTTTTAGTAGAGATGGGGTTTCATCATGTTGGCCAGGCTGGTCTTGACCTCCTGACCTCAAATGATCCACTGTGCCTGGCCTGTGCACACAGATATTTATATGCGTGTGTGTATGTCCATATCTAATTCAATAGTCCCCATCATGCACAGGTTTCTGGCACTGCCCTGTACCTGTGTCAGGGAATATAGCTTTTGTTTTTGGCAGTTCTGAATCCTTACATGTGATTTAAGGAAGTTTCCATTAAAGTGTCTTAGCTTATGAACTGAACTAAGAAGAAAAAATAAAGTAGTTAAAAAAAAAAAAAAAAAAAAAAAACACAACCAACAGGCTGGGCGTGGTGGCTCATGCCTGTAATCTCAGCACTTTGGGAGGTGGGTGGATTGACTGCCTGAGCTCAGAAGTTCAAGATCACCCAGGGAACATGGTGAAACCCTGTCTCTACTAAAAATACAAAAAAATTAACTGGTGTGGTAGCGCGTGCCTCTAGTCCCAGCTACTTGGGAGGCTGAGGCAAGAGAATCGCTTGATCCCCAGTGGCGAACGCTGCAGTGAGCCGAAACTGTACCACTACACTCCAGCTTCGGCTATGGAGTAAGACTCTGTCTCAAATAAATAAATAAATAAACAAACCAACACAACTATGATCTGAAATGCTGCATTTCAAAATATGTGTTTTTCCCCAAAGAAACATATCAGTGGTTTGCTGGGAAGGACTCAGGGGTGGAGGGTGACTTGTCATATATGCTTATTGTGATTTTGAAATATAATTTAAAAACCCTGGTGGGGTATTATCGCCTGTCGCCCAGGCTGGATGGAATGCAGTGGTGCAATCACAACTCACTACTGTAGCCTTGAACTCTAGGGTTCCAGCAGTTCTCTCACTTCAGCGTCAAGAATAGCTGGGATTGCCAGGCGCGGTGGCTCACGCCTGTGATCCCAGCACTTTGGGAGGCCGAGGCGGGTGGATCACAAGGTCAAGGGATCGAGACCATCCTGGTCAACATGGTGAAACCCCGTCTCTACTAAAAATACAAAAAATTAGCTGGGCATGGTGGCGCGTGCCTGTAATCCCAGCTACTCAGGAGGTTGAGGCAGGAGAATTGCCTGAACCCAGGAGGTGGAGGTTGCGGTGAGCCGAGATTGTGCCATTGCACTCCAGCTTGGGTAACAAGAGAAACTCCATCTCAAAAAAAAAAAAAAAAAAAAAAGAATAGCTGGGATTATATGAGCCACCATGCCTGGTGCTATACAATATATTTTATGGAAAATGGTTCTAGTGCTTATGAAGTATGAAAACTGAAGTAATTTAATGTTATCAGTATCTGGGTACTACTTTCTTTGAGCTTTAAAAAAATTTTTATGTGTAAAACACATAAAATTTACCATTTTAAACTGTGTAATTCAGTGACATTTAGTACATTCACAATGTTGTGCAGCCATAACTACTATCTAATCCAGAAGATCTTCATTGCCCCAAAAGGGTACCTTGTACAGGCTAGTAAGCTTAAAATTTTGATAGTATTAATACTTTCTGTGAGACAGCGCTCTCTGGAGTGCCATCACCATGGCTAATAAAATGAAAACAAAAGAGGTCTCTCTAACATAGATCAGGTTCCTAATTCATGTCATTTGTGAAACACCTAGAAACTGAGATCCATGAAATAAACACAGGGAGAAGTCTATGACAGAAACAGCCACAAAAACATACGTGAAGGAACAAGTAGTACATCACTATCAACTTAAATAAGAAAAACCGGTATGAGAAAGGGTCTGAGTGTAGATAACACTCATAAAATAAGAAAATAACGTTAAGAAACACTTATTTACTTGTGGGGCCTTGGGGAAACCTGACAACCACGGAAAAGCCACCTTGCTTCAGTTATCAGTATGACCTTGGTCATGTCCTGTGCATTTACCTAGTCCTCAGCATTTTATTTCTCTGACAAAAGTAAAAGGTGAGAAGAACTTGACACTAAAGGAATCTCTCAGTTTACTCAGGATAGCCTGGAAGCTAGGGATATTTTCACTCTATGTTCCGAAGCCAGAGCAATGGTTCTTATATCTCTAAACCTGAAAGAGACAGAAGGTATGATCTTCAATTGGTTCACTAAGAAAACTAAAGTCTCAGCTGGAAGTGGTGGGTCACATTGTAATCCCAGCACTTTGGGAGGCTGAGGCAGATGGATGGATCACCAGAGCTCATGAGTTCAAGATGACCAGCCTGGCCAACATGGTGAAACCCTGTCTCTACTAAAAATACAAAAACTTAGATAGGTGTGGTGATGGGCCCCTGTAATCCCAGCTACTTGGGAGGCTGAGGCAGGAGAATTGCTTGAATCTGGGAGGTGGAGGTTGCAGTGAGCAGAGATCGCACCATTGCATACCAGCCTGGGTAACAAGTGTGAAACTCTGTCCAAAAAAAGAAAAAAAGAAAAGAAAAGGAAACTAGAGTCTCAGAGGCTTTTTCTCCTGAGAACTGATCCTTCTCCTTCATAACCACATCCCATTAGTATTCACAGTGATCTCGGCTCACTGCAAGCTCTGCCTTCTGGGTTCATGTGATTGTCTTGCCTCAGCCTCCTGGGTGGTAGCTGGGACTACAGGTGCATGCCACCATGCCTGGCTATTGTATTTGTATTTTTAGTAGAGATGAGGTTTCACTATGTTAGCCAGGCTGGTCTCTTTCAATATTTCTATGTGTTTCAAAAATTTCAAAATAAAACATCAGAAAACATTATCTTTGAGGCCGGGCGCGGTGGCTCAAGCCTGTAATCCCAGCACTCTGGGAGGCCGAGGCAGGTGGATCACGAGGTCAAGAGATCGAGACCATCCTGGTCAACATGGTGCAACTCCGTCTCTACTAAAAACACAAAAAATTAGCTGGGCATGGTGGTGTGTGCCTGTAATCCCAGCTACTCAGGAGGCTGAGGCAGGAGAATTGCCTGAATCCAGGAGGCGGAGGTTGCGGTGAGCCGAGATCGCGCCATTGCACTCCAGCCTGGGTAACAAGAGCGAAACTCCATTCAAAAAAAAAAAGAAAATGTTATCTTTAAATATGTACATAGAAAATTCTACAAGAATACATTATTCACCATTCAGCCTAAGGAATAATGTGGGGAGAGGAGAGGTAGCATTTTTACAAATTACTTTGTGTGTAACAGGGCCTTCTTCTGTCACCCAGGCTAGAGTGCAGTGATGCAAATGATCATAGCTCACCGCAGCCTCGAACTCCTGGGCTCAGGTCATCCTGCCTCAGCCTCTCGAGTAGCTAGGACTTTAGGCGTGTACTACCATGACCACCTAATTTCCTTTCTAATTTTTTTGCACAGACTGGGTTTCACTGTCTCAGGGTTTCCAGGGTTTCTTGGATTCCTGTCCTCAAACAATTTTCCTGTCTGTCTCCCCAAGGACTAGGATTATAGGTGTAAGCCATTGTTCCAGGCCGCTATAATTACTTCTATAAGAATCTACTTCTATGAGAATTAGGATATCAAATTCTCCTCCTGTTTGTAAACATTTTATAAATTTCATTTCTGTACTTTTTTTTTTTTTTTGGACAGAGTTTCGCTCTTGTTACCCAGGCTGGAGTGCAATGGCGCGATCTCGGCTCACCGCAACCTCCGCCTCCTGGGTTCAGGCAATTCTCCTGCCTCAGCCTCCTGAGTAGCTGGGATTACAGGCACACGCCATCATGCCCAGCTAATTTTTTGTATTTTTAGTAGAGACGGGGTTTCACCATGTTGACCAGGATGGTCTCGATATCTTGACCTCGTGATCCACCCACCTCGGCCTCCC